AAAAAAAAAAAAAAACCCTATTAAATTGATGGCCCATTTTATTGTTGATAAAATGGACTAGCTACAGGTGATTTTACCTGGAGAGTAAAGCCTCTAGCTCCACAGCGTAAACGCTCTTTTCCAAAGTACTTTCTCAGGTAGTAATCTCGTTGATCCTCACAAATTTGTGGGAGGAGTAACGGGAGAAAAGAGTACCCTTTTATTCGGAAAAGGAGTTAGGCACAAGGAGCTCTTGGGACTTGTCCAAAGCCTGCAGCAAAATCTAGCAACAATTCAGAGCCAGGTCTTCACCCAAAAGCAAGCGGGACTTAGAGGGACCCAAGGACTGAGGGCAGCCTCAGCCAGCCCCGTGTAGCACAGACCCAATGGAAGGCTCCCCGGCCTACGTCCTCACGGTCAGCCCCCACAGCATATCCTTGTCCCAAGCGCCTGCTTCTAGCTCTGGTCGCTTACGGGTCGTTCGCATCCACTGGAGCAGCGCTGGGCGGTCGGCCGGCACCACCGCAACTAGCAATTGCAGCACCGCTCGCCGAGCAGAGCGGAATTCCATGTCCGAGCTGAACGCAACGCAGAAGGAGGAACGCATTGCGCACGCGCGGGGGAGGCCCTAAGCTATCAGATCCTCAGAGGGCCCGCCTTCCTGGGGGCCCCGCCCCCTATTTGGAGTTCTCACGTGCTTCCAGGAATCCCTACCCTTAATCCCACCTCTATTTATCGTCATTCAATTCAGCCCAGCCGAGACACTTTTTAAGGTAGCTCTTCAAGGTCGTACTTCTTTTCTTGGGTGGCACCACTAAAGAAGCCTTAGAGAGTCTCTTATGCCACTAACTTAAATGCTGCAGTTACTGAGCGGTAAAAACTAAAGCCATAGTAGGTCGAAGTAAAGAAGCACTTCATAGACCCTTTCAAACACCCATTCAATAGAAAACTTGCTGGAGCGTGCCCCGGAAGCGGAAGTGCATCCTCTTCATGAAAGGCTGGTCTACGCCGAGTGGTGACGTTTCCTCATTGGGCGGAAGGTTCGGTGGCAGTCGTCGGTCTTCCAGCTGGTGGGAGTTGGCGTCGTGGTGCTGTGCTGTGGAACTCTAGTTTATAGTTTGGGAAGTCAGATTGTGGGGTCGCACCGGTCTGTATGCTACTCGGCTTGCCTGGGTTTTCTACCTCCGCGTGGGCTCTCGCGAAGGAATCCCGGGCCCATTGCGCCACTGCGTTAGTGGTGCCTTTTGCGGTAAGTACCTGCTTTTTCCCGCCCCAAGATAAAGAGGGTCAGCTCGGGGCAGCCCAAATCTTGCTTTGGGGCGAGAGACTTCTGAGGGAATCCGCTTACCTGGCCACAGGCTGTCGTCACTAAGAGTGAGGTTCTCTGGCCCTTCGTTATCTCGTGTTCTCTATCGGAACTTTTATCGAAAGATGCGTAATGCCACTTTGACGTTGTCTTCAAATTTACCAGAGCAAAATAAGATGTGGACAGTTGCAGGTCTCTATGTTTTGCTTTCTTGATTAAGAATGTAAGTGAGGCTATTTCCTAGAAAACCTTCTGACGTACACCAACTTTTTATTTTTCTTGTGTGTTTGTAGTGCTTAGCACATTGTCTTGAATGTAGTATTCAGTAGGTGAATAAGGGATATCAGTTCTGTACCAATGATGATTTAAGATATGCCATGCTGATGACTGTCCCTGTAACATTTGACACTACTGATCATCCATTTCTTTAAACTCTCTTGTCTTTCTTGATGCTCGTTGTACGTGGTTCTTTCATATACTTAATCCAACGAAACAGTAGTTACAAGTTCTTAGTTATAGGGATGCAGAACTGAATGTCACAGACCATGTCACTGAGGAGCTAACAGTACAATGAGAGAGAGGCACATAAATATCCATTATGTGAAAATGAGTACTTTGGACATGCTATCAGGAGGGACCAGTCCCTGGAGAAGGACACCATGCTGAGAAAGTAGAGAGTCAGTGAAAAAGAGGACCCTAGTGACATCGATTGACAGTGGCAGCAACAATGGGCTCTAGCATAGCAAATATTGTTAAGGATGACACAAGACTGGACAATGTTTCATTCTTTTGTACATAGGGTTACAACAGTAACAATGAGAAATTCTAGCTAGGTGTAAAGAGCTATGGGGAGACCCAGGTGAAGTTAGTTTGTTCCTTAGACGATGTGTGACCCTAAGCATGTTGCTATTCCAATGTAGACTCAGTTTCCCCATCTACCTTATTGAAAAATTAGGTAACCTGTTTGGTACATTGCTTCGAACGTGGCAATGGTGGTGTCAAAGAGGAAGGGAAATATTTTCCTCTGTTTTTTAATATGGTCAGTTAGTATTATCTGACTTTACAGAATGCTTTGCAAAACATCTTCAAGCTCTCCTTCCAAACAAACTACCTCTCTAACTCCACCTATCTGGAAATTCTAGAGTGGCCATATTTCATAGTTTTTATTTAATTAAAAAAAAAAATTATTGTCTTCTGTGTGCCTTTGTGGAAGAGACATGAGATTAGTAGATGTATCTCTACCTTATTGACTTTTCAGTTGGTCCTTAGCCATTACTATAACCCAGTTGGTCTTCTACAGGCTCTCCTACAGAGTTCTCCTCTCCATCTGTGGCTTCCATGGCATCATCCTGTGTGTCACCTATTTCCAAATCTTTTGCTCTAGCACCTGTCACCTGTATAGTAGTTGTGTAGTTTCCTCAAAATCAGTATGTCCAAAACCAAATTTGCTATCTATCTCTACTTTCCTTTTTTTCGTCCTCTTTTCTTTATGTCTTACATCATGCATAGCAAAACCAACCAGACTCACTGTCATCAAGTTGATTCCGACTCATTCAGACCATGCAGGACACAGTAGGACTGCCTTCTGTTGTTTCCAAGGTTGTAAGTCTTTACCGAAGCAGACTGCCTCATCTTTCTCCTGAGGGGAAGCTGGTGGGTTTGAACCGCCGACCTGGATAGCAGCCAAAATGCTTTAACTACTGTGCCACCAGAACTCCTATCATGCATACAAAAGTGTGTGAAAGTAGTAATTCCAAGTGTGTTTTTGACTTTTGACGCCTTGTTACTAATTGAGTTTTGTGATACGTATGTATACTTTTTAAGAAATAGATAGTAATGTGAATACTTATGCACTCATTTATCTTAGTAGTAGAACATTGCATATAATTTTTGTGGGCCCTTAAACCTTTTCCCTTTTTTTTTTTAGATCCATTTTATTGAAGTATAATTTATGTACAGTGAAATACACAGAACTAAAGTGACATGAGGAGGTCTGCTAGCATAGTGCCTAAAGGCACTTGGCTGCTAACCAGAAGGCTGGCGGTTCAAACCCACCAGCCACTCCTCAGGAGGAAGATGGGGCAATCTACTTTCGTAGTGATACTGCCTCACAAACCCAAGGAGTGGTCGTTATGAGTCGGGTCTGACTCAACGGCACATAACAACAACAACAACAACAAAGTGACATGGGTCAATGCATTTTTTTTTTTTTTCTTTTACAGTGTTCTCTCCCGTCCTCTTCCAACCCTGGCAACCAACAAAGAAAGTTTCCTTCCATACGTAAACCTTTCCCTGACCCTCCACAACAATGAACTAATACTATATTTGTCCTTCTGTGATTGATTTATTTCACTCAGCATAGTGTCCTCCATGTTTATCCATATTAGCTAGTGTTTTGCAGACTCTCCATTATTCTTTAGTGCTGCATAGCATACCATTATGTGTATGTGCCATAGTTTGGTCATCCACTCTTCTGCTGATGGGCACAGGTTGTTTCCATCTTTTTGCTATTGTGAATAGTGCTGTGATGAACATGAGTCTGGAAATACCTGTTCCTGTCCTGGGTCTCACCTCTCTAGGATATATACCTAGTAATGGAATTGCTGGGTCAAATGGTATCTCCGATTCCAGTTTTCTAAGGAATCGGCATATTGCTTTCCACAGTGGTTGTATCAGTTCACAGTCTCACCAGCAGTGTATGAGAGTCCCAATCTCTCCACATCCCCACCAGCATTTGTTATTTTCTGTCTCGTTGAACCTTGCCATCAGTGCTGGGGTGAGACTATATCTCATTGTTGTTTTGATTTGCATCTCTCTGATGGCTAATGATTGTGAGCATCTCTTCAAGTATTAGCTGGCCACCTGAATATCCTCCTTGGTGAAGTGTCTGTCTATTCATGTCTTTTGCCCATTTTTCAATTGGATTGTTAATTCCTTTGGTATTGAGGAGTCAGAGTTTTTTATAAATCTTAGAGATAAGTCCCTTGACAGATATGTAATTATCAGCAAATATGAACTTGTTGCTGTAATTTTTGTTATGTGCTTCTTCGTGGTGTCGATTTCTTTGTTCCATATAATTTTCTATGCTGAGCTCATTTTGTTTATGAATCATGTTACAAGTTCCTTTGTTGCTATTGTTTTAGTATTTGCTAAGTATTTGTGTTGGTCCTCTTTTATTTTGATGTGAAGGTTTATCATTTTTCTTTGAGGTTACCCTGTGATTAATACTTTTCTTCCCACGTTTAGAACAGTCCGTTCTATCTTGTAGTTGTTTTGACATCCCTACCATCTAGAAGTTCTGTAACAACACAGTTTTTCCCTCTTTTTGGTTTGTAGTTGTCCTCATTTGTTGGTTGGTGTCTCTGGTTCCCTGTTTACAATCTTGTAGGCTTATTTACTTTGAATACTTCCATAGCTGGGTTGATTTCTGGGTTATGTCATCATGTGTGTTAATGGTCAGTTGTTGTTGGCTGTTGTTGCTTCTCTGTCCAGAGGACTCCCCTTTAGCATCTCTTGTAAGGTTGGTCTGGTTTTAACAAATTCCCTTAATTTCTGCTTATCTGGAAATGTCCTAATTTCACCATCATATTTGAGGGACAGTTTTGCTGGGTACATAATTCTTGGTTGGAAATACTTCTCTTTCAAGATTTTACATAAACCATCCCATTGTCTTCTCACCTGCATGAACCTTTTCCCTTTTAATTCTTCCTTTTAGATTTCTAACCAACTTCCCTTTTTGCTTTCCATTCATTGGGTTAGTGGGCATCACTCGCCATCTGCTTATTCAAACTAGAGACCTTGGAATAATTTTTGCTTACTGTTTCTTCTTTGCTCTCCACAACCATTTGGTTGTATCCTGTAGATTCCACTTCATGAATTAGCCCATGGCTCTAGCCCCTTCTTTCTGTTGTGCCTTCTGCTTCCTTAGTTCAAGCCCACTTCTCTCAATTTGACTTTTGGAGTATGGTTAGTATATGTAGACCTTGCTCTCAGTCCTTTACTCCAGTTGTCTCTAAAGATATGTTAAAAGTATACAACAGGTTCTTCATTCCCTTTTATCATTTGAGAATCCCTGGATGGTTAAAGCACTGGGCTAGTAACCAAAATGTTGGTGGTTCAGGTCCATCCAGAGGCAGCTTAGAAGGGAGGCTTGGTGATACACTTTTGGGGAAAAAAATCAGCAATTGAAAACCCTGAGGGATACAGTTCTACTCTGACACACACGGATTTGCCATGAATTAGAATTGATTCCATGGCAGCTGGCTTTTTTTTCTTCCTTCTTTTGCATCTTGAGGAGTCATTGCTTAATGCAGTGATACTTAAATGTGCCTGTACATAAGAATAGCCAATGAAGTTCTTCCAAAATATAAATGCATTGTTTTGCTTTCTTGATCAATAATTTAGCTGAGACTGCATCCCCAAAACCCTGATGTGTATAATCCTTGAGGAATCTGATTGAACATGTGATTTTTAGCTGATAGACATTATCAACTATCAACATACTGAAATAACCCATTGCTTGAGCATATACTTCTCATCCTTCCTCTCATTTTTTCACCCTCATGCTCTTTCAACATTGAGGTAAAGTATTGCTAAGACATTCCTTTAGGAGCTCTGGTAGCATAGTGCCTAAGGCACTTGACTGCTAACCAGAGGGCTGGCGGTTCAAGCCCAACAGCCACTCCTCAGAAGGAAAGTTGGGCAATCTACTTTCATAGTGATACTGCCTCGGAAACCCAAGGAGGGGTCGCTATGAGTCGGGTCTGACTCCATGGCATATAATAACAACAGCAAGACGTTCCTTTGATTTTGTTTTAATTTTCCTCTTTATAACATTTGCCCAAAGATCCTTTTTATTATTAACCTGACAACCAAAAAATATCTTTTTCTTTTAAATTGTGATTTGGGTGAAAGTTTACAGAGTAAACTTGATTTTTCATTCA